TTCTCCATCGGTCTTGTATGTTATATCTTATAAGCAGAGGTACAAACTGATTGCCTTTTGTTTGGACTGTGTTTTTCCAGGATATTAATATATAGTGAGTAACTTTAGAATATAGTTTGTTTCTCTAGTGCAAGAAGTCAATTTGCTTACTGTCTAGTATAATAAAATTATAAATAACATATTTATTCCCTGGAGAACATGTTTATTTAATGTTCATTAAGAGTAACATCACATTCCAGAGGAAAGAATGGATATGCTTATGTCCATTAGTAAAATTTGGCTTCTTGTCTTGTAACACATTCATTGCATGTACAGTTGTCTCCTTGCCTTTCTTAAGGATTAGGTCTCTGAGATATGACTTACATACTAAAAATATATTTTCATGAGTGATATATCATTTTTAGCACCCATGAAACTGGTAGAATAACTGGTTAGTCTGCCAGATCAGTAAATTCCCAGACCCTTCACAGTTCCTGATGGTAATAGAAATACCATTCTTTTCAGAACTGCAAAAGAGGGTGTTCTGTGTCTTACTAAATCTGAATGAAGCTATAATTTAGACCTTTTATGCATACATTATGATTTTTATTGTTTCTTATGAAAATAAATGTTTTTAAGTTAAAGAACTGCCTTTCTGAGATTTTTTTAAATGAAACAGAGTGTTGCCCTTTTATAAAAGAGTTATTCTTTTGTATTTACTCTCTGCCTGTGCTTCCACCAGAGCACTTGCTTTTATGTTTATATATTTGTCACTTTTTCACATGAATAGGATTCCTTCCTTTAAGTACAAAATTATGAAACTACTGAACTATAGCATGTCTTCTAAGATATCTGTAGTTCTCTCTGACAGTATCTGTATGTGCCCATCTTTCAGCAGTCAGCCTAAGTCCCACAGCAGTGATTTTATTTTTAATTCAGCATGTACTTGAATGCTATATTCAACCTGATTTTATATGGTTTCTCTTTCCATTCTCACATATGTTATGTACATTTTTTTCTGCTGAAAAATGGCCAAAACGCCTTAGAACAATTAGAGAGTAATTCTAGGTAGCACTCCCTCTAAAACCTCTTTAGTTACTCATTACTTACCTTGCGTTACTAAATATAAAAGTTTGCTAATAAGCCTTTCTTGAAAAAGAATTACCTTTTCAGGGTCAGCCAGATAACTTAGCGCACTAAATTGCCTTCTTAGGCAGATGCAGGGACCCGGGTTTGATCCCGTGCAGGGACCCAGGTTTGATCCCATGCAGGCCCCGCCCCTGGAGTGCACTGAGGCATGACTAAGACTGGGTGTGGTGTTGCGTGCTTATAATCCCAGTGCTTGGGAGACTGAAAACAGGAGGATCACTATGAACCCCATCTGTGCAGTAGGCCCTGTAGACTCTATGCTAAAATTAAAAAAAAAAAAAGGAATTACCTTTTCCTTCAAACACCATCTTGTCCTTCTAGGTGCACTATTATTTTTCTCTTCCTCCTTCTCCTCTACCTCTTGTACATGTTTGCACTACATAATGGTTGCATTTATTGTGGGGATATAGAACATGCACAAAATGCAGTTTTTTAATTCTCTTTCCTTCTTAGTCCCCAAGGATTGCTCTTTCCTTAGGTTTATATCTTAACTGCCTATTCCTTCCACTCTCCTTAATCTTTTTTAATTCTCTGATCTAGTTTGGCTACTGTTGCTACCTGTGTGCTTTTTTCTCATATCTTTATTTCTAGTCTAAAACCTTCCCTTGAGCTCTAAGCTCTTTTTTAATGGTTGCGGGTTACATGGATTCATATCTAAAGCAGCTGATGTCATACCCATAAAGGAAAAAGAGTATGTTCTTCCTCTCTTTGTCCTAGTAAGTAGAGTCTTTATCCAGTTGTTTAACCTAGAGTCCATGATGATAGCCTTCAGTCAAAGATGTGATATTCAGGCCTTTCACAAAAGTTGAGTTTATGAATGTTTTTCATAGCAAGAGAAGCCACATGCCTGTGGGACAAGAGTGATTCAGTAAGATGATGCTGGAGAGACTTAGAGAATATGGACCTTCGTTGGGTTATTTTAGAGAGGGTTCAATGAAGTAGTGGAGATTTGCCCTGGAATAGATGTTTTCAAGAAGTGGTAATTCTGCCATTAGCTATCTTAATAAATCTTCCCTGCCAGCTGATAAGAATAAACTGGAATTGCTGAAGAAGCACCATTATTTGGGTTTCCTGGTATTTCTTTGTGGTTTGTACAGAGTCCTGGCTTTTTCCCATCAGAATTAATTCAAGCTAGTTTTCCTCACCTTCTTTATGGTTGCAGGACCTTATCTGATGTTACTGAGTTGCAAGATTCTGTGTGATAGAATAATACCACCTGATAGCTACGAGGGCCACTTTTTTTCACTTATTTGAGGTAGAAAATTAGGTAGCATTGGATAGTAGTAAGAAGATGCGAGAAAGTTTTAGGGTGTGTAAGGGACAATCAAAATAATATAGTAAATATTATAAAATTTAAGAACTTATTACAGTAAAAGGCACATTGCCAGGCTGGCAGAATAGCTCAGTGGACTAAGTGCTTGCTTAGGCAAATGCAGGGAGTGGGGTTCAATCAAATGCAGGGAGTGGGTTAATTTGCTAGCCCTGCCCCTAGGCATGCTGAGCACTGGGGAAGCTGAAAACAGGAGGATCACTATATCTGAGATGTATAATGAAACCCTGTATCAAGCACATTTTTTTAAAAAAGGTACACTGGGGCCGGGGAGATGGCTCAGTAGAATAAGTGCTTCCCTGGCAAGCGCAAGGACCTGAGCCCAATCTCCCCGGTTCTGCCAAAAAATAAAAATAAAAAGGCACATTGCCACTAATCTCCCTCAAATTACTTCCTCTTTGGTTTGAACACACTTATTCCATGGTTCTTGCCAGTTTGTGAGGCAGTTTTAGAAGTCACCTTTCATAACTGTATGAGATGTGATAAAAAATCTGGTGATTGCTATTACTGATTGCTATCCAACAGAAAAGCAATCTGATAAAAATATTAGGGTGCGTCCTTGTTCACCTTATTCACTGGACCTGGCACTGTGTAATTTCTGGCTCTTCACCAACATCAGAGTGAATGAAAGGTAAATATTTTGAGTCTATACAAGATAACAATGTAGCCTTGACAGTACAACTTACAATATCCACAAAAGAGGAACCTCCAAAAATGCTGCAGAAAGTGGCAAGAATGATGGGATAAGTGTGTTTCAAGTGAGGGGAGGTGTTTTGAAGGGGATTAATAGCAATGCATCTTTTCATATAATTTTAATATATAAAACTTAGTTCTCTTTCCCATCTTGCAAGATGATGGGTGAAAACTCTGAGAAGCCAGACACTAAAAAGAAGAAACCCGAAGCCAAAAGCCTGCTGCCAGTGGTACTGGTTAAAAGGGTAAAGTGAAGGCAAAGAAGTTCAGTAAGGGTCAGCCCCACTGCAGCCAAAATCCTGTCCTGGTTAGAGGATTTGGTAGATACTCCTGATCTGCTATGTATTCCAGAAAGGCTTTGTACAAGAGAAAGTACACAGCTGCTGAATCAAAGGTTGAGAAGAAAAAGAAGGAGAAAGTTCTTCCTATGATCACAAAGCCAGCCAGTGAGGGCAAGAATGGAGGTAGCCAGTTGATTAAGCTTTGAAAAGTGTGTAGATACAACCCTACTGAAGATGTTCCCCGAAAGCTCTTGAGCCATGACAAGAAACCCTTCAGTCAGCATGTGCGGAAACTTCAAGCTAGCATCACTCCCAGCACCATCTTGATCATCTTCACTGGGCATCACAGAGGCAAGAGTGGTCTTCCTGAAGCAGTTGACCAGTGGCTTGCTGCTTGTGACTGGGCCTCTTAGCCTTAATCATGTTCCTCTATGAAGAACACACCCCAAATTTGTCATTGCCACCTCTACAAAAATTAATATCAGCAAAGTAAAAAATCCCCAAATACCTCACTGATGCTTACTTCAGAAAGAAGAAACTGTGGAAACCCAGACACAGGGAGGGCAAAATCTTCAACATGGAGAAAGAGAAATACCAGATTTCAGAGCAGCACAAGGTGGATCAGAAAGTAGTAGACTCACAGATTTTAGCAAAAATCAAAGCTGTTCCTCAGTTCCTGGGCTATCTGTGATCTGTTTTTGTTCTGACAAATAGAATTTGTCCTCATAAATTAGTACTCTAAATTTCTTCCTGAGAACTTAATTAAATAACTGATACATTAAAAAATAAAATTTAAAATTAATAATAAAATTATAATAAAATAAAATTAAAAATAATTTTAATATAAATATTCACTGTACTTTCTGATCACATCACATGAGAATAAAGAATTTCCATGCTACTGGTTATGAGGGTAATATACTGTATAAGATGTACAGATATTTTTAGTTTTAGGTATTTATTTGGCATTCCCCCACAATAGAGATTTGAAGTAGAATAGAAAAAAATTAAAAGTAGGTAAAAAAGAGATAAGAAAATTCAAATTTTAAAATTTCATCACTGTAGTTTTAAGACTCAAAAGTGAGCAATTTTAAAAATTTCAATTTTCTTGTCTTTTTTTTTTAGTCTTTTTCTTATCCTACCTCAGACCTTAATTTGTATGTAATGTATACAAAGAAAGCTTTTGAGAAAGGGTACAAGTGCAGAGATCAGCTATAAAGAATTTGCTTTTAAGATAAAAATACGTATGTTAGAAATATTAAAAACTGCTGTTAGAGATATAAAATTACTTTGAAGTGCATCAAAAATGATAGAAACAGAAAGATGAGTGGATATTTGATTTTAAAAATCAAAATGTTAATTGATTGTAGAACCAGGTACTGGGCAATGGAAGTTCATTGAAAAATTCTGATCACGTGGGTGTTCACTGGAAAATTCTTCCAACTGTTTACTTAATTGAAAATTTCAATAAAATGTTAGAGGAAGGGATGGTGATGTAAACTGTTTGCTAAAGCCACATCCGGATGATTTGTTGCCCACCTGATCAGAGACTTTTATTTTTTCTGTAGGAACTTTCCGCTGTACATTTTGCCATACAGAGGTAGAAGAGGATGAATCAGCAATGCCCAAAAAAGATGCGCGCACACTTTTGGCAAGGTTTAACGAGCAAATTGAGCCCATTTATGCATTGCTTCGGGAGACAGAGGATGTGAACTTGGCCTATGAAATACTTGAGCCAGAACCTACAGAAATCTCAGCCCTGAAACAGAGGTAAGTAGAGCCCTGTGCCCTTCCTGAGAACCGTTTTAAACTTGCACTGCTTTTAACCTTGCAAAATGAGTAATTTACCAGAAGACTGAAGACTATTAGTTTATATACGTTCATAGTTCTACCATACCAGTCTTCTTAACTTGTGTCTGTGATGAGATTTGCAGAATAGTGTGTGGCATTAGAAATCTTTACTAAGTCAGATTTGACTTCAACTTTCTCACTCAGTTTGGGTCTGCAGCCACTTGGCCAATTATTCACTAATCCCAAATTGTATTTCTTAAATTTTCCTAGTCAACTTTTGAAGGCTGAAATTCTTTCAGGAGTATAGGAATTTCTTCGTTTTTTGAAATATTTAACCACAGGTTTCTTGCTGTCCTTAGTTTTGAATGTAACTTTCTTGAAAGTAAAGTGTGTTTCCTGTAGGTTAACACTTCTAACAATGGCTCCCTATTTTTTGAATGTGCACTAGTTTTTGGAATTACAGAGGCAGGAAGCTGGGTGTGGCGGCACATGCCTGTAATCTCAGCACTCAGGAGTCTGAGACAGAAGGATCATTGTGAGTTGGAGACCAGTCTGGGCCACAAAGTGAGCTCAAGGCCAGCCTAAACTGCATAGGGAGACCCTGTGTCAAAAAGACACAGAAACAAAGAAGAAAAAAAATCACAAAAGAATTGGAGAGGTAGGGGCTGGGGAGATGGCTCAGTAGGATAAGGACTTGACTGGCAAACGCAAGGATCTGAGTTCAATCCCCGGTTCCGCAAAAAAAAAAAAGAATTGGAGAGGTAGCTTAGTTCTGCCATGCCATAGCAACTGGTAATATTCTGTTTTTGCAAAACATAAATGACAACTACAGTAAGGCAGTGTTCTCATACTCTACTCCTTTTCTTCTTCTCTAATGCCAGAATACATTGATATATACCTACTACTTTTTTAGGCTTCAGCTCCAGTTGTATTCTTTTTTTTTTTTTTTTTGGCAGAACCGGGGATTGAACTCAGGCCCTTGCGCTTGCCAGGGAAGCACTTATTCCACTGAGCCATCTCCCCGGTCCCTCCAGTTGTATTCTTAATATTTTATTTTTTCTCGTACTAATGTTACCAAATAGTGAGTCCTGAGCAAATTGAGTATCTTTTGGGTGGTTGAAAACAATTCAATCGTACAGAAAGTTTTGTATCTATGTCAGTTATTGTGAATTTTATAATCTAGCATCATATAGAAGTTTTTTTCCTATGATAACAGAAAACCTAACTAGAAGTAGACTGACCACTGAGAACATTTATCCTGCATTACCAGAAGTTCTCAGGTAGTACAGTTCAGAATAGATTAAATAATCCTGCCTTTTACCGTCCTATACTCTGCCACTCTCAGCCTATTGGTTGTTCTCTTAGGACTATGAGAGAGCTAGCCTAAGGTATCTATGTCTTTCTAGGGTATCACATACAAATGCCCTATGAAAATGTCCAAATGCAGAAAAAGGCTAATAGCTTCCTTGTGTTTAATTTCAAGACTAAAGATAGCTTTCCTAGAGCACCCCCTTCATCTTGTCTTATCTCCAAATGTCTCATTAGCTAGAATGACATTTTTGCCTGTTCATGAGCCAGCATCTTGTAGAAGTGAGATCACATGGTTGGTGCTTAGACCAGGTAAGTGCCTCCTAGGAAGGTGTTAAAGTTCTTTGAAGCAACTAGCTACCAGTATTTGAGGCAAGATTGGGCAAGTTCAGGGTTGTATGGCTGTAGACTAACCACGATTATTTGAGTAAAGCTAGTAAACAAAGATGGAGAGGAGTAACAGTTGGTAGGGAACCACTATTGTCTATATTCTAGGTAGCCTTAAGTTTTGTTACTCCTATTTGGTTTCTTACCAAAATTTATTTTATAACTTTTTCTGAGTTAATCTGTAGCTCTAACCTAGAAGACTATGAGGAAAATTTATTTTATAAAAATACTGGGTTTTTTTTAAAGTCTGTAGATATTTTATGTTGAAATATGTTCCAACATTCTGTAATTTTTTTCTATATACTATACTATCTGAATTATTTTAATGTTTCTTCTATGTGTAGTTATTTGTTTTATTTACCAAGATGCCTCTAACTACTATAGCATTCAGTTCCCACCATCAATGGTATCCTGCCTCTAATATTTCTCACTTACCACAGACCACTCCGACTCCATCCCTGGATCTTTAGTTAGATGACCCTTACTTAATGGCTGAGAGAAATCATAGTGTCCAGCAACACCAGAAGCCTCACAGCAGTTGGCTTTATCAAGTCAGCCTCTTATTAGGAATGATAGTGACTCTAGGCATGAAAAGAAGCTGAAGTAGAGTAAATAAACTGACTGACAGCAGAAACCTAGTGGTGTGGTCACCAAAAAAAGGCAAGTGGAGATAGGCGAGAAAGATAGTGGGGTTATTGGAACTGCTGCCAGAACCAAGGTACTGTCAGCTCTATATGGTCAAAGAGAAAACCACGAAGTTAGAGGAGTGAGATTAGAGACACTAAGATGGCACCACCAAACATTTGACAAGCTCCATATCTGGATAGAACATCCTGTGACGCTGACTTGGGCATCATTACTAAAAGATCATAAATTTCTGTGATAGCCCATCCTATCCGAAGGATGTAAAAATCCATCCTGCCTCAAATAACAAGAAAAGAATTATCAGAAGGGTGGAATGAAAGATACCGTTTTGGTTTGCTTGTTTTGTTTTTAGTACATTGCTAGTTTGATTACTGATCTGTAAGCAGTTAAATTTGAAGGTCTCTATGTCAGGAACCAGAGGCTGCCTCTGCAGTATTGTCAATAGACATAAGTCAAGAGCTGATGGAGAGTTCTAGTCTGTCAGTAAGTCAACTCAGTAATAATATTCATAGGTTACCTTTCTTTCATCATCTCCTAGCACTCATGTTAAAAAAATTTTAAAATTTAGTTTCCAAGGGCTATGGCTACAGCCCAGTGGTAGGCCCTGAGTTCAGTCTTGAGCACCAAAGAAAAAGTTTTGAAGTAGTATTCCTCTCTTACCTGTTAGTTGTATCTTGAAATTCTGAAATTTAAAATGAATTGTCATTTATGCCATCTTCAGTGGAAATGTGTACATTTTCTTTTTCCATAGATATATTTATATGAAAAGTGGAGTGAACTTAGGTTTCTCACATGTAGTTTTTCTTTAGGTTACATTGACTGATGATTTAGAGTTGTGACTATAGTGGAGATAGAAATAAAATTTGTGGAGTTGGCTCTATAGTGAAAAGCATCTTCTTCAAAAAACGTTGATAGATAATGCGAGCAGGAAAACAAATGGGGAGGAGGCAAAAAAAGTGATGGAGACATGGAGCAGATAGAATGGGTCCCAGGAAGAAAAGCTTGTGATGAACAGTGGTGTACAAAATAGCTCTGAGTTCAGTTTGAATCATGATAAAAATTGCAGATGCAGTGCTAGAAGGCAGGGATTAAATGACTAGATCACAATTGACTGAGAAACTAGAAAGAGCTGGTTTGACTGCAGAAAGCACAGACATATAGATTTCCAGAGGCAGGGCAGGAGGAATGAGATGAGCTCAAGGTTATCTTCAGAGGATGAACACAGTGTTGTAAGGAGCAATATAGTGGGCAGTTAGATACATGGATGGAGAAGCCTACACACTAATGGAAAGCCTAAGTATATATGAAGTGTGTCTAGGAAAAGGTGAAGAATAATGGGCTAAACAGAATAAACAAAGGATTAAAATGAAGGAAAAATGGTACCTAGTTTATGGGAAGACAAATGAAGTATTGGTTAGATTAAAAATGAGACAGTCACCTCATAGGCGACTGTTGTATTTGTGGAAAAGATCTAGAGAAATAGAAGAGAAATCATGGAGTATTGTGAAGCCAAGAGTTAGTAGTTGCTGAAAAAAATATAGCAAAAGGTTAGAGTGAGCAGGAGTCAGAGAAATATGAAGATTGTGGGGTAACTCATAGCTGTCTAAACAGAGTGGAAGGAAGAGTTGTGCATAGAATTTGATCCAGAAAGCCTGAGCAGCAGTCAAATTTGAAGTAGACTGAGTGTGAAAGAAACAAAGAACAGCAGAAAGATGGAAACTACGGCGTAATTCATAGATATGGGGGAAACCAAGAGACTAGAGAAAGATGCATGCAGAACAGGTCTGTCATAGGCAAAGACGGTCATGGGGAGGAAAGGAAAAGAGCAAAGCATAATAGACTGAGAAACAGATCATATTCCCTGTGGGGTAGAAATAGAGCATCAGTGTGGATGAAGAAATAAAGGATAAAACTAGGGAAAGAGGCTGATGTGTAGAGAGAGATGTCTCACTTGATGAGTGGCAAGGGGGCATGTTAATCCTAAGCTGAGGTCTGGCTGTAAAATATTTTTGTAGCATCTTCCTTGGTCAGTACATATACCACCTTGGATTATTCTGGGCTGAGTTGAGATATTTTAAAAAATACAGTATATTTTTTATTTGTTCATTTTTATTTTTTAAAGTAAATTCTCACAAATTACTAGGGCAGTTTTTGTTTGGTTTTGCCTCTTTTAGTGAGTGTGTCATTCTGTTCCTCTAAATAGGTTTATTCAAACATCTCAATCTGTAAAAACTCAGTTGTAGTTGGGCATGTGGTGCTCTCCTGTAATCCCAGCAGAGGACTGGGAAGCTGATGCAGGAGGATCACAAGGAGAAGCCTACAACCTAATGACTTAGTGAGACTCTCCCTGTCTGGGTCTCTAGCTCAGCATGACAGTCCAGACTTTAATCCCCAGTACTGTGAAAAGCAAAATACCTTTATATACACTGAATTCAGTGTTTGAGAAATTTAATAGTAAATACAACATCTTGTTCTAATCCATGCAGCTTTCACTCTGAGTTACTGAAGAGATTTCTCAAGATTGTTAATGTGTATGGCTGTTGATAGTATTTATTTATAATATTTCAGTAATTACCTCTCTGGCCATCCTTTTCCCCACCAAGTGTTAATTTTTCTTCTTCCTGTATTCCTCTAATCTTGTAATACAGCAAGGACCGAGCAGCCGCTACTACTGGAGCTACTGGCCAAGCAGGAGGTCACCATCGGGAAGCATGGGCCACCAGAGGGCCCTCCTATGAGGACTTATACACACAGAATGTTGTCATTAACATGGATGACCAGGAAGATGTTCACCGTGCCTCTTTGGCAGAGGGGAAATCTGCCAAGGAGAGACCCATTTGGCTGAGGGAGAGCACTGTCCAAGGGGCATATAGTTCTGAAGAGATGAAAGAAGGTGAGATAGAAGTCAGCAAAATCGGTATTTCTTTAGACCAGTAGAAAATGAACTTAATTTAGTGGGACACTACTTAGGCAATGATTAGTTTTATTGACTATTCATTGTGCCTATTTTATGAAAACAGTTGCACAATATCAGGAAGAAAGGAACTGAGCTATGAGCTAAAACTAACTAGTATATTTATATTGATTTTCAGTGTAGTCAAAATAATACTTCTTAAAATCTTTGTTTTAGGATTGCCCTGTCTTTATTTCTCGGAAAGTGCTTTTGTGTTCAACATGGTCAACTTTGTCTCTTTGATCTTCTGTTGCCTTTATTAACATGCATTTTATTTTTCTGAATTGGAAGTCATAAATATACACTAGTCCAAAATTCTTGATGTTCTTTCTTCACAAATATCAGGAATTTGTGCTACCTGACATATATAAAATATATCATGTATATAAAAGATTAAGCATTCTCATAGTCCAGTAAGATTGATAGGAAATTTACTCTGCATTTTGGAAACCTCAGAGCCAGAATGGTTGAGAATTACATAATAATCTTCATAACTTTCAGAGCTGCAAGATTTTACTTTTTCAATTCTAGGTAACTGGATTCAAGACTTTGGGTGATGGATGATATAGAAAAGGAGAGGCCAAGAGTAGAGAAGGACTGTTCAGAAATGGGAAAGCAGAAGTGACAGGGAGTCTCTCTACTTCTGGTTAGGCTTCCTCAGCCACCCTTCCCAGATTACATATCATCCGAGCACATTACCTGAATGGGATTATTTAGTGCTAAACACTCAGCAGACACTGAAAACCTCTTATTTTTTTGGCCTTTCCTCTAACTTCTTTTCCTATTTTTTGTTTGTTTAGTGTATTTATTTTTTGAGACAAGGTTTCACTTTGTAGTCCAGGCTGGCCTTGAACTAACTCATGGTGCTCCTCCTGTTTCAGCTTCCTGAATGCTGTGATTATAAGCATGTGCCATTATGCCTGGTCCTTTTTTATTTTTAAAAAAATTATTTTTAATATACTGTATGTACTGGAAATAATTCAAGTAGCATGGAATTTTAGGTAGTGATGGTAAAAGTAGTAATAAAACTATGAAATTCTCTTTGATATTTTAATTCCAGCCAGAAAAATGTTTTCCTTGACAGCTACTTTATTAGTTTGTTATAATTAGTTATTTTGATTCAAGTTATTCTCGATTATATAGTAGTTAGGCTGTTTACTTTTTTTATTTTATTTTTTTTTATTTTATTTATTTGAGAGAGAGAGAGAGAGAGAGAGAGAGAGAGAGAG